ACAACTCTTCTTGATGTGATTGAATTACTGAATTATACATATGAACTTAATCCCAATTAACTCTAAAAACGACCTTTCGTTTTCTTTGCTAACTTATTGATTAGGAACTTTTACATTTAATTTTAGAAAATAATTGAACCAAACAGATTTAAAGATGTTAAATAAATATTATGTGAAATATTATTTGGCCAAATTGGCAAGGTTTTCCTTTTCTCTCCTACTATTATTGAGGCAATATAAATGAACTTCGTTTTCAAGCACGCCTAGAAGTCAAATAAGAGCATGTCATTTTCATCTTAGAGAAAATATATTCACTAAATATTATAAATGACATTTAATAAGGCTATAAAATGATATGTTCCTGTTTTTAAATAAACATGTTTTCCCATTCTAAAGTTGGAGAACATCTTCAGGTGTGCTGAATAACTTCTGAACAGCATCTTTTCCTTTTCCTATGGGGCTAGTAGAACACTTTGCAATATTAAAATGTTTATTTTCAGGCAGGAATCCCAACTTTAAAAATAGATTGCCAATTACAGCCTGAAAGGAATGGTTCGGAAAGGAAAATGAGGATGTGAGCGTTTCCTCACTCTTCATAAACGCTTACATGCACAATCTTCATTGAGCAGGAGTTTCAGGAAAGCAGGTGCTCTTTTTAAAAATGATACCGTTAAGGTCACTTCTTCTCCAGCATTCCGAAGAACCTGAACCTAAATTTAAAGAAATGAAAACATAAATAATCACCAGTTGAATATTAACAAAAATTTCATTTGATTACAGAGATATTAAAAGGTTAATGACCTTTCCCCCTGAGTGGCCAGCAATATTTTATGGAAGATCCCATCACCACTCCAGGCCATCTAGTGTGAGTTATAAGGTATCTGAGGCTGAAAATATCGATGGAAAGAGGCAACCTTGTCTTTTCCCGTCAGAGCGGTTGGTGGGTTTGAAGCTCAGTCCTTACTACTAGCAGTCCAACGTCTTCCATTATCTGAACTATAGTGTAATCCTTATCTGATCCTTAGCCTATCTCATCTTTATCTGCACTATAGTGGAATGAAGTATAACACCTGGGAAGTTATATGCATCAATCATAACAGAAAAAATGTTAATATACAACTGCAAGCTTTTGTACACTTTAAGAGGAGAATTAGGAATCCTTAAGAATTAAAGCACCAAGCAATAAATAGGGAAATGTATTTTGCTACCATACATATAGAAATATGTCAAAATTTGAGCATCAAATAAATGATTAACCAAACAAAGCAGAATGACACCTGGTCTCAACTCGGTAATGTGGACTCATTTCTCATTGCTGTGTTGCACTAAAAATAACCATTAATTTGGGTTGGGGGTGATGGGGGGTGAGGGAAGGAGGAGGAATGCAAAGATAATTGAAGAAGACTTCTGAAATGTTAGGGGCCATAGGAATGGAGACCAGTGAAGTAACGGGGTATCTTATATCCTTTATATTAAAAGGAGCGAGATATCCTGTCCTTACTTTTCCTGGCCCCCAACATAATCCAGATGTCAGCCCAGGTGGGCTCATTTTGCTTCTGTATCAAATAAAATTGTCTCACCCAAACCAAGTAAATCTTATATAAGTGGAACCAGCAAAGAAGACAGATCAAAAGTGGACAAATGGCTGGGAGAGGCCTCTCCTTTCCTGCACACCTGGGACTTATCTCCAAGATACCCTGTAGGGTTCACAGCACGCCTTCAATCACCCATTCCTTAATAAGCACCCATACTAGACATCTTCTCTGACAGTCCCCTTTCTAAGTGAACCATAGACTATGTGTAACCAGTGACTCTGACAGGCGATCCCACCACAGAGTGCTACGATTCCTATTCATGTCCCTGGACTTGAGAGGATCTCTCCCATCCAGGATCCTACACTAGTGAGAAGCATCAATACAGATAAGCTTACTCAAAAGGCAGGATTTCCCAGAAGCACTCCCTGTCTTTCACAGAAGAGGGCTTCCTTCAAAACCTGCATTATGTAAGTAATGTTTAATCTCCAAGTCACTAATATAATATTATATTTGACCTTGGTTTTAAAAAGTTCTGTTCTTAGCAAATTTCTATGCAATTTAGATTGATCACAAAATCTCTTCTTGAGTTTTATGAATTTCATTCAAAGTCTAATTTTTCTAACCTCCTCGCTGCTGTTTGGGAGTGGAAGTAGTCCCTTGAGGTTCAAGTTGAAATTCTCGAGTAGGAGAAGAAACAGATGATTGCTGTCCCAAGTTTACTGAATAGGTGGTCAGTATGTTTTGGTGGGATTGGACCTATTGCTCTGAGAGTGCCCAATGAATGGTGACCTGGGACCAACATATATTTGCTGTTCTTGTGCTCTCTGCCCTTTTTTGATACATGTTATTTGATCAGGCATGACTCTGCCTACCTATATGAGTGTCACTGAAATACTGTCATACCTCCAATCCTCAGGGCATGTAAAATCAGTGTCCAGTCACTCATGTTCTGAAGCTAAAGCTAACAATTCATGTATTGGAGTCTAATAGCAAGTCCTGCCCATATACAAAGTCTTTTGCTCAACAGTATTTTATCATTGACTAAAATAATGTGAGTAGCAATAGAATTACCTTAAGCCCCATGGAGATGACATGGTGCATTACAATTAAATGATAAAGGTGTCTCTAAAGTGAATCAGGAACTTATAGAAACCATAGTTATATGAATGGATTTTGAGCTCACAGTGTTCATAGTCTTAATAGAAGAACAATTAATTTTTGTGACGTGGCCTGCCTGGTACTTATCCTCATAAAGAGATCACTGAAAAGTATGGATGCTGGAGCAAAGTGTAGTGAAGAAATCACATGGTGCCTGGCTATCAGGAAAAACCACGTGTGTGTTCAAAGTTTGTTGCAAAACAAGGTTTGTCTAAGGGAGGAGTCAGCTAAATCCACACAGAAGAAGCACATCTACCTGTGTGATCCAAGGATCATAAAAAATAAAGATCCAAACCCAGATCTCTTAGGTAGTTTGGTTTTTTGCCCTTGTTTTTTATGTTCACCTGTATAGGAAAACCAGGATGGGTGGATTTATAAAGACAGTCGCTGGATTAATGATTGTCTGGGGGCAAAAAAGGGGGATGGAGGAAATGGGGATTCAACATCAATTGGTTAAAAGAAGGGAGAAAAGTTTCCAAAGTTGATTGTGATGAGTGCACAACCCTTCTTGATACGAACAATTGGAATTTGTGATGTGTTAATTAAAAGCTCAACAAAAGAAAAATGAAAATCAAAAGATGTATTGCATTAAGCAAATCTGCAGCAAACAACTTCTTTAAATTATTGAATAGTAAGAACATCACTTTGTGGACTAAGATGCTACTATTCCAAGCTATGTTTGTTCAATCTCCTCACAGATATATGAAAGTTGGAGAGTATGTTATACAGGGTTCTCTAGAGAAACAAAACTTATGGTTTTATATATATATATATTTAGCTACATAGATATACAACATAAGAAATAAACAGCTAATTAGTCTATAGAGCTTCACTTCTTTGAGACAGCTAATACACTGGCAGTCCTTCAAGTCTTGAGGGCCACTGGGTGCCAGTCAAGGAAGCACACAGCTGAGTCATATGTAGAGCAATTAGGCAATCTGCCCACAGAAAGCAAACAGCAAGGCAGGTCACCAATAGTCAGCCATATGACAGGGTCTGACAGTCCCCAGCTCAAGTGATGTATAACTATTCCAGCAGTGCAGCAAAGCAGGTCTTGAAGGAACCTTAAATTACAGCTACACAGTTCACAGGTTAGGTGTCCCACAGGTAGCATAGTTGATGCAGAGAACGAGGTAAGGCAGCTGCACACTGGCCTGATCATCAAAGAGCAAAAGACAAGAAAGGCGAGGTTTGTAGAATCATTTATCTCTTTGCCCTTCAATTCATCCCACATGTGTTCATTGGCCAGGTTGGTGCAATAAACCTACCTATCACAGACAGTCAAAAAGGAAGACAAGAAGAATCGGTGTCTTAGAATAATGGTGCTGACAGAGAATATGGAACGTATCTTGGAGTACTATAAGAACAAAGATAGCTATCTTGGAAGAGCTACAAATATAATAGTCCATAGAAGTGAGGATGGGGAGATTTTGTTTCATATACTTTGGGCATGTTGTCAGGAGAGACCATTCCCTGCAAGTGTACGTTTGAGGATGGCACAGACTTGAGAAATGTTTCTTTCTGCTAAAAAATTGTGTAAATATGAGTCAGAACGGACTTAAAGTTACCTCAACACAACAACATATATGTTCCAGCAGTTACACTACAGTATGGTTCTCAGTCACAGGCAGCATCTCTAAACTCTTTTCCATCCCCAATTAGCATCACATGGCACATCGCCTTTTGAAGACATCTCACAGAAACCTTCCCCCTCCCTTCAATGTTCTACCTCTCTCTTCAACATTCTACCTTCCTCCTCTCTTCGAAGGTCTGTCTTCCCCTTCTCTTCAATGTTCTACCTCCCCCTCTCTTTGAAGTTCTACCTTCCCCTCCTCTTCAATGTTCTGCTGGTCCCACACTCATTGGAGTGGAGCACAGGCTACTTTTAGACATGATAGTTTATTTCTGTCCCAAACGTTTATTAACACTGGATTCCTTTGTTCACTCTCTCTGCCTTTTTTCACCTTCTCCTGTGGCCATACATTCATCCCAGTCTCTCCCTGTCTCTAGCTCTCCCTTTCTTACTTTCAGTTACTCTCTCTTCACTCTGTCCTCCAATCTCCCCTCACCCTGCCCCCTTTTCTCTCATTGCATTCTAAACACCCAGGCAGATCATTATTTCTAATAAAACCTGTTAATTGAAACTCACACTTTGGGTATGCTTTCCCTTTATTCCTACTTTAATATATATATGTAAATCTATGTGTATGATAGATAAAGCCCTAGGGTAGGTTAGATTAGAGAAGCAAAATGAATGATTCTTGCATATGTATGGGTATAGAAAGAGATACACACCTTGCTAGCTGAAAGTAAAGAGAACTTAAAGCAGTTTCCAATGATGATCAAGGATGGCCTTCAGTTTGGATCACAAGTCAATGTAAATAAAACCCAAATCCTCACAACTGAACCAATAGGTAACATCATAATAAATGGAGAAGAGACTGAAGTTGTCAAGCATGCTGGCTTATTTGAATCCATAATCAATGGCCATGGAAGCACCAGTCAAGAGTTCAAAGGCCATATTACACTGGGGAAATCCGCAGCACAAGACCCCTTTAATGTATTGAAAAGCAAGAATATTACCTTGAGGTCTTAAGTTCACCTTACCCAAGCCATTATATTTTCAATTTTAAATGCTATTCTTTAGGAAAGGTTACAGGTAACAGTTAAGGTGAGAAGTACCCAGGATACAACTGCTCTTGAACAACAGTCTCTGTCTTGCCCTCAAGAAGGACTTTTTCTTGCCTGCAGCCTCTTGGCTTGGCCTCTGCCCCTCTCTGGCAATGTTACAAAGCTCTTTTAAAGTTCCAATAAACACCCTCAAGGACATGCCACTCCACTGCTAGCTTCAACCTAAACACATTCACGTCCAGTTCTGTGGGTCAGCAAAATCCAGCTCATCTGCAAATGAAAGTAAAGCATTAAAAATAGCAGACCAAAGAAAATCAATGCATTTGTATTATGGTGCTCACACAATATTTTTAAAGTACCACAAACTGCCAAAAGAACAAACAAAT